AACAACTTTTCCTTGCCAACTCTAATTTTTGACCTAGGGAAACAAAGTTTAAAAACAATACAATCTGTTCAACAGGCCTATGTCTTTAAAAATCAGTGTGCCCTTAGTGTAAACCACACTGTTATTATGAATCTCCCTACAGAGCTATATATACTTACCCTGCTTCCCATTCCGTCCCTCTATGTCAACTGATACCAGGCTTATTAACAAACTAATTCTTCCTCTAGTCCTTGTTTTCATTCAACATATCTTGGGGCCTTAGCTTAACCATCTTTTAGGTTTTTATTTCTTAGACAAGTTTTTCCTTCCCTTGTATATCCTTCCAGTTGGCCTCCTATCTTGGTCCACTCTATCTTCTTCATAATTTGCTATATTTTTTATGTCACTCATCAGTCAGTGTTAACCTCCCCCCCCCCCCCCATGCTACAAGGCTCACATATAGGTATTCAGGAGATAGAAGGAACCAGAAGGTCATAGAAAGGAATGAGGTCATTTAAGATACAGGTGTACTTTTATCAAATTTATACATATTTTAAAGGTAGGGTAAGGAGAAAGCATCTCATTTTTATTAGTCTTTGCTAATGTTCAGAGATGAAGTACAATATGTACAGAAGAATGTTTCGCTCCTGGCAGTTTTCCCACAAGAAAAAGTGTAGCATTTGATCAACATCACTTCAATGTATAAAGCAGTTTCCTAACGTGAAAATGTATTCTATAGAGTGAAATTAAAGCATCAGGTGTTCATACAGAATGCCATAGAACAAATGTGCAACCTTTTTATTTCTTTCACAATGTGCCATGATATACTGGCATATATTTATATTAGGTGTTGTTCGTTAACATATTTATGTTGTGAGTTATCCTTCAACATAAAATTTCCCCTTCTTCTTTGATAACAGGATCTTTAGGCAACATCTGCTTGCCTAGAATGCAGACTCCATTTCTCAGCCCTCAGTGCTAGATGTGACCATGCAACTAACTTCCAACCCATGAAATATGAAAGGAAAAGAAGTGTGCATCTTCTGGGTCCTGCCTTTACACAGAAGTGTGGCCATCCTGCATGCATTCCTCTTCCCACTGACTTGAATGTGGATAAGGGCTCGAGGTGGCAGAGCAGTGAGATAAAAGAGGTCTCAAGTTTCAATAACATAGAGCTTACACATTGATCCAGAACTGCTTATGCCCAATTATTATGTGTGTGTGAGAGAAAGATGCTGTTTAAGCCACTTTTATGCTGGTTTTCTGTAATAGTAAAATCCATTGCATAAATGATATAGTTTAGCTTATTGTTGGCATGTGAAGTTTTTGTTTACATGTGGAACTAGGTCTCTTCCCAAAGTTCAGATCATCTTTGCATTATCTTTTGGAGTTTATTTTGCTTCATAATATGGATTATGTTTTATGTGAGCAAATGAAAATATGTTCTTACATTTATGTAATTATTATGGTTATTCAAAAATTTGGGAACTATTTAAATAGCCTTTAGGGAAGACTGAATTTTGGACTCTTTAATTAGTAAACCACCATCAAGAACAAATACACCAGTTCTCTAAAAAAAGGCTAACCTCAAGTCTTTCCCTACATATTTTCCATCTTCACATCTCATTTGGTTTAAAGAGACCACTTCTTAGGCTGTCTACCTCCTCCAGATTTCTTTGGAATTTTTCTGTAAGAATTGCTCTTAACCAACTGCCTTACCCCAAACACCCACCCACACCCTATAAGCAGGGGTCATATTGCACACGACCTTGTGGCTCATTTGCTAATGTCTGCTCATCATCTGGTCCTTTGATTTCAGTGACTTCAATTGAATGATATATTTCATCATATTTGGGGAATTATTAGCTTAAAAGGCTAATATTTACATATACTACAAATGCAGTCCTCTCCAAATGAAATTCCTAATAAATATGTGTGTGGCTATCCTTGATGGCCAGAAATATCATTGCAAAACAAGAAAAACTACATCATGCAAAACAATGACTGCCTGCCAAGATTTATAGGTTTAAAGGAATGATAATTTATATCTAAAGCACAATGGTATCTGTAGAGCACTACTATTTCAGTGCATTCTGAGGTTCACTCTCACAAGCTCTGTTGTTTTCAGTTTTTTCAAGTTTTACAATAGAACTTTGATTATATCCTGACCAAAAATAATTCATGCTCATAAATTCAGTGAAGGATTTGGTTCACTCACATGACCTTCAGATAATGAGCTGATTAAAGTTCTCTGACTAAAATTTTATTAGCTCATATTCTATTTCACCTTTCCAACTTCTAATCTTAAAGCTGTCACCATGGCTGACAAATAGTTTTAAAGATGCAGACAATTAAGCAAACTCTTTTCAGAATCTGGCACCTAAAACCTTTGACATGAAAATATATGTCTCTCCCAAAAGTTTATGTGTTTTAAACTAAAAACATTGACATTAGGAATTGAGTAATTGATTGGAACCCTTGTTGATACTTTTAAAAGCTTTATAAATATTTGTTTCTATTTCATAAAAGCAATAATAATCATAATAACTAGATAAAGAGTTCTTTTGTGCCATATAGAAAATGCTTCTAACAGTTTATATAACTAACATTATTTTCTTTTTGTACTTCTGTTCATTATATGCATTTCTTCCATAATTCTATGAACTTCTGTAAAAATTATATAGCATAAAAAGTGAAAATCCTCTGCTTCTACCATTTTAATTCCATTCTCTCAAAATAACTACTATTAACAAATGTGTGCCTATTTAGCTAGAATTTGGCATATTCGGTCACACAGAGAGACTTATACCCCCTCTATCTCCTTCTCCACCTCCATTTCCACCTCCATCTCCACCTCTACCTCCACCTCTACCTCCACCTCCACCTCCACCTCCATCTCCATCTCTGTCTCTGTCTATCTATATATCTATATCCACATATTTTGTCATATAAAGTTGGGATGTGCCATAGATATTGATCTGCCACTGTCTTTTTTCAGATGCACTATATCATGAGCATCTTCAGTTAGTGCTCATGGCTCTAATTCCATCTTTTTAATGGCTCCATAGCAATCTAAACTGTAATACGGTTTATACACAGCATTTTATTATTAACTATAGCATATACATAGCATTCTAAACAATAATTAAATATTTTTTATTGATGGAAATTTGCCTTCTTTTTTTGTCAGTAACATACAACACAATGATGAATATCTCTGTGCATATATTTTTATGAAATTATTTTATTATGTCTTTTGGTAAAGTTCTAAAATGGCTAATTGCAAATTCAAAGGTACTTTAACTCTCATCAATATCAAATTAAACAAGATTTCCTACACATTTTGATTCTAGAGGCTTCTCCTATAGCCATACTTTTCCAGAGTAAATTCCAACTCTAAATTTTGAATTGAATCTATTCATTACAAAGCATCCCAAATGAGTTGTAGAGTCAAAGCAAATATTCCAACAGACAATGCCATACACTTGAGAATGATGAAATGCTTAAAACAGAATATTTAAGTAGAACTTGTAAATGAGATATAATTACAGCTTTCATAATGCAACCATGCTATAGTGGCATGTCCAAGAGCAAATTCTTTCCAGCATTCTTAGTATTGATATAAATGTCCAAGTGGTGAGCATATGTTCCTGGAATGTTTAATGTTTCTGTCAGCAGATGGGCAGAGTTTGTCTTATTTTAGGGGAGCTATGTCATAGGTCAGTTAATACTTTCTTATGTCAGTATTGCATTCCCTCCAACAGATTTGGTAAGATATATGGAAATTCCTGAATAACTAATCTGAGCATTCCAATTTAAACAACTTCATGAAGAATTAACATTTTAATACAATTTATATAAGAAAGGAAGAGTTTGTCAGAAGCACAGAATGCTCTACTGGCATATAGTTTGAGCACATTGATCTTTGCTGTAAAGTCTTTGACTTCACTTAAACTAACTTATGACATGTTACTCATCTATTTTGTTTGCAAAACCACAGTTTATGGAAACCAGATTTCTTCACCACAAAGAGTTGGAGATTTTTTTTCCCCTTCACTGTAGATAGCTCCAGTCAAACAGATCTAAGAATACTAGTTTTGTGTTAAAATTGCAATTATGGATTAATATTATATCAAGAGAGGAAAAAGGATGCTACACTAAAGTGTCCAACTGCAAGGTTTTTTCAATGCCAATGGCCATATTAGATTTATAGAAGAAATTGTATTTGTATTTAAGTAGTGATTTTAGAGAACTATGTTGTTGGAAGAGTTTGGGGGAAATCCTAAAGACAAGAAACTTTGGTCAAGAGTTCACTGGCTAACCCATACTTCATGTAGCTCCACTCCAATCCTTGCTCCTGTTACTTGGAAAAACTACTTAGGGGATAATGGCATCTACAGGATTAGTCAAAGTGGCCTTGGCATAAAAAATAATAGTAATAATTTCAGTTATTGGTCCTTTTTGGTCAAGAGTTAAAGAAAAGTTGATCTATCTATTGATAGTGAATGTACTAGGGTATCATTTAAATAGTATCAGCATATTTGGGGGAGAGGACATGTCATTTTTAATATGTGCTTTATGCCACAGTTGTTATGATAAAACATGTTTTTTAAAGGGTAAAAGAAACAAGCCCAGATAAATGATATTAAATTTTTTTAAAAATGCCATGACTTTCTAAGAATTAGAGATCACTCTTTAAATGGGCCTTGAAGTATGGGGCTCTCTGGTGGCTATTTAATTCCAACGGAAGAAAGCGAAACCAATTCTGTCTTCAACACAATCCCAAAATGAAATGTTCATAAACCATTATAAATATTATTAGTGAAATGAGTAGGTTATTATATTTTAACTTTTACGTATTTTGATGGTTTCCCTAAGAAGATACTCATTGAGTTATACAGCTACATTACAAGGCAAAAGAAACATCTACATAACTCTTTAATGCTAGCAAAATAATAAGTGATGGAAACAAGGATATTTACAAAATTCCAAAGGCTAGATAATTCGTGCATGTGTCTTACCTTTCTTTTGCGAAGTCTGACTTGATTATCTGTGGATTCCTGGGTGGCCAGAGTCCCCTTTATGTGTAAACACTGCATGCCATCTCCTGAGTTGACCTTTGGGAGACTTTTGTTTTGATGTTTTGAGAAACCACTCTTCTCCAGGCCATTTTCAGCTGACATTCCACTAAGGTAGGGAGGAGGCTGCAGGAAGCAGCTTCCAGAATCTGCTTTTAATAATGACAATTGTCCGTCTGTACAAGGAATAGAGAAGAACTCATTTTGTACTACACTGCAGGTGTTTATTTCATGCTCATCTTTAGGCAAGTCAGGTTTCCTTCGTTGTTGAGCAATGACAGCAGAATTCAGCAATTGCTTCTCAGGAACAATATCATTCACATTCAATGACTCACATGCATTTATTTCGGATGCATCTTTTAGTTCACTTAAGCTTATATCATTACAAAGCTCTAGGCTTTTACTTAGAATTTCAATAACTTTTCTCTCCCCTCTTCTTTCTACCAACACTAAATCAGTTCCATCAGCCATTCCCCAGGAGTTATAAGAATCTTGGTTACTTTTCGTGATAGGTGGCATCTTTACTAAGGAGCCTGCTCCTTTGACGCTATGTTGGTCTGATGTGTTATGGCCTTGGGAAGTTAAAATCTGTTTATCATCTGTAAGATATAGATCGGAATCGATATCCTCATCAGAAACATGCACTAATGTTTCTGTGCTGGCCTCCAGAGAAAGAAACTGATCTTCACTTTCGTGGCTGTCATTTTCATCCACCTCCTTTGAAATATGACCCATTGGCCTCCCAGGAAAATCTCTCATCTCCAGTCCATGACAGCAGTCTGGTAGTGAAACACATTTCTCTTTGCGGTCTGCATTGAGAGTTGCATCTTTTTCCATACTTGCCTGCAAGCTGTCAGCTACTAGTCCATGATGACATGCTGTGTTATGATCATCAGAATTAAAAGGCTGTCCCATCCATTGGGTCACATGTTCTTCCCAGCTCCTCTTTCTGATAGCTACAGACATGTCATCGTAATTTAACAACAGATAGAGAGATACTTTCCATATGAGACTAAAGAAGATGGAAATTGATGAAAGATGACTTCAAATTCACTGATTGAAGAAGAGAGTGAGTTTTGTCATTTTGCCACCTATTTAAAAAAAAAGATGTAATTCAGGATACGATACTAAAGTGAAAATATATCTTGTAAAAGACAGCACTTAATCGGTGCTAGAAAGATTAAGTGAAAGAGATTATAAAATTTCGGTTTAATAGCTTTAATAGTGTTACTTCTTTAAGAAATAGCCTTATAGTAGAAGAAAATTTCGCATTGAGTATTTGTGATGAAAAATCATTGACAATACTTTTAAATGCAGCTTGATTGATGGATTGATTAATGAATAAAAATATAACTATTGAACATTTAAAACTCCATTAAGAAAATATTTGGACTGCAATACTTAAAATTCACTGGAAGTAACTTGTTTCTCTAGCTTACATGATTTCCTGATTTGTTTTTGTGACTATAAGTCTTTACAGAAATCTATTTACTGTTTTGTTTGAATTATAATAAAGGTCACCAAGGAACTGTTCATGCAAAATTTGAGATATAGAGACAGCATTTGTAATGCATTAGTGTGTGAAAGCGCTGATACAGATCCCAAACTCTCAGGATGTATTTACTCCAGGGAGTGACTAAGAAACATGGAATAATCCAGTTTAGCTCATATTAACACATAAATCATGGATAAGAAAGCATAACGCATACCATTTACATTGCCTCAGGATAAATCCATTTACATTACATACTGTTACTGCTACTACTAGCTAGCAAGCTAGTATTGTTGAAGCTTCGAGAAATTAAACAACTTCGCCAAAGTTATACATCTAGGAAGTGAGCCTAGGCCTAGGATTCAAACTTTGACCTTGGTTCTAAGGCTAGGCTTGAGTAGCCAACACACTTCATTGTCTTCATGGAAAGAGCTCCTACCTTCATCCCTTCCCTCTGCATATCTTTTGTGTGTATAAAAATCTAAACTCAGGCAGGAATTCAGGGGAACCAAAAGGAAGATGTGAGCATGATAAGGCAATTGGGGCAATTTTTCAGAAATTTCAGTCTCATTCTCTTTGGCTTCTATGGCATGTAGTTTGTATACTTCTGTTAGAATTTGGCCATAAAAAATCTGAGTAAACAAGAAAACCAGGCATAAGATAAGGTCAGAATATAAACACATTCCTGGTATCCATCCCTATTGCCTTGACTGATTCAAATCCTGAGTTAAAGGAAACAAATTATAGCAGTGTAAACTCGACCTTATAAAAAGGACTAACCCAAATGTTGTCTCATAATGAAACCCAATTCCTGGATTGTAAAAGAAAAATCACATTTAAAGAGCAGACACTTCTAGGTTTTACTCCACAGAACTGTCAGCACGTAGCATGGATTGGCTTACTGATTTCAGCCATAAACAAGATTAACTGCTGTGCTGGTTTTGGGTCACTTCAGCGTATTGAAAAGGGCTCTGACTCCTCACCCAAAATTTCAAGCTATTCTGACTAAGCTCTAAGCACATGCCAGAAAAGTAAATATCTCCATCCTGTAAAGACCAGTGAAGTTAAGGAATGTACTAGAATTTGGTACCTAAGCCTGACCAAATATCTTTCTGGATACCATTTGGTTCCCTCAAAGCTCTGTGGCCATCTCTGAAAATGGTCAGCATTCACATTTTCCATGTTGGCATTTATTCTGCACTCAAAAGAAAATATAAATTCCCTGAATTTAATGCATAAGTCATTATAATGTGGGAGGCTATGGAAAGTGGAAAAAACACATAGATGCATGTCAGAAAGTTTCTGCTTTCATGGGCAAATTTGGGTTGTAATAGGGCGGCTCTATTTTAGATACTTTCTTTTCTTTATATTTAGAGTAGAAAGAGCAGGCTAACTTAAGAAATGCCAACTGGTATTACTGTGTCATTCCTAAGCCACATTTACATTTAAATTGAGACTGAATTCTAGTTTCATTTCTTCTACTAAGAAGAAATAAAGTTTTATTAACCCCTTGGGGAAGAGATTACATTAAAATTTTGCATTTTGGAACTTATATAATATTAATTAACTTATTTCACTCTGTGTTGGCAAGTAGGTAAGTGTTTTTATAGCATCAAAGGTAGACAGTTCATCAAGTTCTGAGACAATCTAGCTACAAAGACATTATAAATTAGGCATATTCAACAAAATATTAACTCCTTCTGTCCTAATTTCTTATCTAGGTTCTTTGGATATTTCCAAATCAGTCCTGAAAATGTAGTGTCCTTATTTTTAAGACATAAAATTTCCTAATTATCATTATGACCATCATCACTATATTTTGTGAGCTTGTTCCATATTCTGTGGTCTGATAGACTTTTAAAAAATGTATCTCTACTAGCTTTGTTATTCACACTTTCTGATGTGTAATTCTGATTTGTAAGATCTATAGTTAATGTCTGCCTCCATGATCTAAAGGCTGAACAGCACGCTCATGCAAAGGAACGTTGGATTATTTTCCATTGCATCTGAGCATGTCGGTCTCATTTTCTAAATCATCTCAATTGTCCAGAATCTGTCCTGTGAGACTGAAAAGTCTTTGTAAAAGTCCTGACTCTCCCTATGAGCCACCTCACCAAACTGCCTTATTTAAAGTTATATTTCTAACTACTGAGTACTTATTTTGTAAATTTCTATTACTTTTTTTTTTTTTTTTTTTTTTTTAGTAATCCCTTTTATGCAGTTTCATTCAGAATGAGCTCAACTGCTGAGGATTTGGATGAAGGGTCTGGAAAAGTGTAGGTCATTCCAGGGTGTTGATTTTATGAAGTGAATTTCCATGGGGATTTTTCACTTCTTAAATGCATGTGTTCAAACACTGTTATATTAATATTACAAGAGTCTGTATCTGTATATGCTTATAATTATGTAACATTGCTGGAAAATATTTTTGAAATCTCCAAATTTACTTTATGTGATGTTAGTGCATAGAGTGTTTAGACACAAAGCAATTTCAAATTTATTGTTTGGGTTAATTTTGTAACACTTAACACTCCATAAAATAAGCACTTTACATCATGCAGTATATATTTTTAATTAATTAATTTTTAATTAATTATAACTGACCATTATTGTACTAAAAAATGACAACAAACATTCTATTGAGAATCACTGACACATATCTGATAGCAAATGATCATGCTTTCCTTTGATCTTGCGTCTGAAATAAACACATACCTTATATTTTGCCCTGGCAATTGTCCTCAAGGAAGAAGAGCATGATGGTAATCACTACTGTTGATTTTGTAGCCTGGGAGAATATGGCACAAAAAAGGGACTTGTGGCAAAAATCAAGTAGGCAGCACTGTAGAACTGACAGCAGCACTGCCTGATCATACTCATTTATTCAATAAGTGTTTATTTAGTGCTCAACGGACCACAAGCACTCTGCTAAATATTAGGAGTGTAAACCTAAAAAATATCTTCAATTTTTCCTTAAAAAAGCTTACAATTTCATGGGGGAAACTCATGTAAACAAGGATAATAAATCCTTGCATGGCCACAAATACCATGGAAAGTTTAACACAAAAGAGGGGGTCATCATCCTCCCTCCCTTCCATCCTCCCTCCCTCCCTCCCTCCCTCCCTCCCTTTCTATCTTAATGGTGAGTAGTGTAGGAAATGGTGTAAGTATTAGGTGGAGCTCTCAGAGCAAAAAATCCATGAATGAGGCCCTCTGTGGGAATTTTCTTTCCTCTGACACATCCAGGTCAAATGCAAGTTAAGTTAGATTTTCTACTCTAAGGGGGAAGTCTTCCTTTCTTTCTGTCTTCACATTTTTACTATTCCAGAATAACCTCTTTGGGAAAGATAGCAGAGGCAACGATAAACTCCAAAGAATAAGTTACAACTTGAAAATTCATTGATCACTTTGGTGGGGAACCAAATCTCTGAAGGATTTTAGAGAAAATTGATGGGAGAAATTGTCCGAAGGAAAAAAATATCTGATAATTTCCAAGAACTAATGACCCAAGTCTTCAGATTGAAGAGAATCCATGGAGTATTCAATTACACAAAAAATAAAAATAGACAATACCAAGAAATATTATTGTGAAATTTTAGAAATTTAGAGATAAACAAATGATCATAAACGTTATCAGAGAGAGACAGAAAAATAGTTTAAGTATTAGGTATTGGGAATGGGAATGTTAGTACACTTCTCAATTGCAACACTAGAAATAAGACAGGCAAATATGGCTTTTAAAATTCTGGAGGGAAATTACTTCTACCTTGAAATTATACAAGAAGCCTTAAATCTTTTTTCCCCTCTCTTCAAGAAACTGCTGGAGCAATAGTTCAACCCAAATGAGAGGAAAAAAAAAAAAAAGGCAGAAAAGATATGGCAACAAGGAAGCCACGAATTCAACACAATGAACAAGGAATGGAATTTCCAGGTTCAAATTTATGTAGCAGGTCTAGTGGATAATCATTTCACATAAATCCTAAAGTTCTCTACAAGAAATGCCTCTAAGATAAAAACATGGAAATAATAGATTATATGATGTATATGACCACATTGAGAGGAATTGTATAGTAAAGTCAGACAATAAATATGCTTGGAGCTCCTCTACACTATATCCCATGGGAACAAACCAATCCCCCTGATGCCTTCCTCACTCAGTATACCACCACCTCACAATTACACACATCCTTGTCTCACACTTTCAGAAAATAAAGGTGCCAGTTTGGGTACTTATTTTTGGCCACCAATGTCAATGCCACTTTCTATGAGATTCTTAGGCGATTCCTTTTATGGATTCCTTTCTTCTTCCAACCCTTCTGGGAGCTCCTGCAGTTCAGAACAGGTATTCTTGGTAATCCATTTATCTATAGTCTTTCTAAAATATTATCTGAATAGAAGTTTAAGATATAGAAATAGCATAAATGAGTAAATACATATGAAAAGAGGAATTCTCTATTATGTTATTTCCCAACTTTTCCTGGATACCTTGCTCATAGTACTTGAAAAGATGGACATTTGATTCATCCCTTCAAATGTGGACATCTTGTTTTGTCTTTTCAAAACACAGATGATCTATCTATCTATCTATCTATCATCTAT